CAATATACATTCAGGGTTCAGGGTTGAGGGTTTAGGGTTTTAGGGTTTAGGGTTTGGGGTTTAGGGTTTTAGAGTTTAGGGTTTGGGGTTTAGGGTTTTAGGGTTTAGGGTTTGGGGTTCAGGGTCTAGGGTGAATCCCACGTTTGTATCGTTTTCTGGACATGCTGTCTGAAACCCCTAAACCGTAAACTGTCTGCGGAAGAATCTATAGTAGAAGCCCAAAATTTGGACACCCAAAAGCCTCAGTCCCGAAGAGTAATTTTTAAGCAATCCTAGCACTATTTGTCCATAAGCCGGTTTCCAACTTTTCGGGGTTTACCATAAGAAGCTGCTAAAGCTGGATGGACGCTGAGGGATTGGCAGTCCCGAGTTGGCAAACTTGGTGTTTAGGGGTTAGGGCCTTTAGAGGTTTAGGGTTTAGGGTTTAGGGTTTAGGTTTAGGGTTTAGGGCCTTTAGGGTTTATCCTTATAAACCCTGAAACCTATCAAGACCATTTTGAAGGTTTCGGGTGTAGGGATTCCGAAAGCACGAGCCGGAGAGAGTTGCAATGCTAAGAGGATTTTGGGGTGGAGGACAGTGAGTTTAGGGTTCAGGGCTTCTGGATGTAGTGGTGTAGGACTCACGGTCAAAGGATTTAGGTATGGAGCCCTAAACCCTGAACCCTAAACCGTCACACCCTAAACCCTAAACCCCAAACCCTGATGAAGGCTGAAGCGACTCGAGGCTAAGGCTTTGAGCATGCTCACGGTTTGGAAATCCCTGAGTTTAGGGTTCAGGGTCTACCCAACTCTAAACCCCAAACCCTAAACCCTGAGCCCTTAAACCAGAATGTGCAAGTTTCCGTCAGCAGAGCTTACGACCAAACCTCCAGCGCTTCCGTTCGGCCCGGAACAACAAATTCCATAGCGACGTGTCTGAAAGTGTAGGGTTTGGGGTTCAGGGTTTAGGTTTAGGGTCAGATAAATGCGCACCGTAGAGCCACAATCTAAACGACAGGGTACTCCCCTCATGAACCCTCAGAAACCTACACCCTAAACCTTGAGCCCTGCACCCTCAAACCCGTAAAGGAACGCCCAATGCGGACCAAGGTGGCCAGCATGCGGAAGGTCACGAATCCCTTTATCCTGGTTGCCTTGGAGCTTTCCGGCCAAAGAGAGCTCTTAGGTATTGTAAACCTAAGCCCTAAACTCTGGGGTAAACCCTACACCCTAGGCCCTAAACCCTAAACCCTAAACTTAAGCCTAGACTTAAACCCTGCGCCCTATAAGCTTGCGGCTTAGACGTAAATTTGGGGGATCTAGATTTAGGATTTCCTTCGATTCTTTATGTGTTGCACGTGTTCTAGAACCCTTAACCCCATAAATAAAACCCGCTCAAGGGTCCATGTCTATTACTTTTATGGAGTTTTCGTCCCGCAAAAGCAGAATAGGGATGGTCTGTTGGGACCCACTTCCGTAACGGTATTTATATATGGACCCTCTAAGTTAATGAGCCATTCAAGGAACCCTTAACTAGCCCTCAACCCTGAACCCTAAACCCCTAGACCGTAAACCCTTTATTAGCCCTCAACCCTAAACCCTAAACCCCTAAACCCCTAAACCCCTAAACCTAAACCCCTAACCCTAAACCCCTAAACCCTAAACACCTAAACCCCAAACCCTTAATTAGCCCTCAACCCTAGCAAGCCGACACTTTGTTGCGTTCGAAGCTTTCTGATGTGGGCTGACTTACTGTAGGATCACAAGTTTCCAAGGGTCCATGTATGTGCTTTTTAGGGTTTAGAGTTTAGGGGTTTGGCCTGAAAGTAGTCTAGTTGGGTACTTTGGTGCCACCGTATCTACTACTGGGGTACATAGACCCTTAGGGTAGGATCACAGACTTATCGGCCCTCTTTATGCTTGGTTCAAACATAGGAGACTCAATAACTACCAATACAATTTCTTCGGGTTCCTTGCTTGTTAGTTTGAAACTTACACTCCTTGTTTGTTAGTTCTAAACTGACTCTTATGTTGTAGTATACCCCCAAAACCCTACCCTCAACCCTAAACCCTAAACCCAAAACCCAAAACCCCAAAACCCAAAACCCTAACCCCTGAACCCAACACCCTAGACCCTAAACCCTACTCCAACTGTTCAGGGCTCGGGATGAAAGGCTCAGGGTTTAGGGGCAGGGCTCGGGGCTTCCTTCAATTCAGGATTCTGAACCCTAAACCCTAAACCGCATGCTCTAAGGGCCCAGTGTACCCGAGTTCTTTATGCTTCGGCCTTAAAGTACCTATATAGGGACAACAGTAAGGCCCGAATATCCTAATTCTACATACTTTGGCCTTGGGGTACCTATATAGGGACAACTATAAGGCCAAAGTATATACTTATACACTATATGAGTACATGATTGACCCTTAGGGATATTCCACTACGCATTCCAACTCAACGTTTCATCGAGCGGCGTGTGCTTTAGATAAGTCCTTTGTGCAAGCAGGGTGCTTGCGGCGCACGTCGCATGTTTGAAGCTCCTGCTTTGAGGCGTTTTTCGGTTTCATGATTAGGGCTCTTGGCGTTTAGGGCTTTTTTGTTTTTGGGCTTCCGTGGCAGTCAAGCTTTAAGTACAGAGTGCAGCGGCTCCAGCTGCTTTCTCGGTTTCGGTCGGAAGGTTCCCAGTCAACAGACGCAAGGTTCCTAAGTACCTAATACAATAGTGGTTAGGGTTTAGGGTTTAGGGTTTAGGTGTCTACCTCAGGAATCACTATTCTGTTTTTGTTGGTAAGTATCCCCCATAGCAGTGCCTAGGGCCGCTTTGGGCAGAGAGTGGATACCTAGCGCATATTGCCCGAGGCATCCTGGTAAGTCTGGCGGCAACACGAGCAATCCCAAACCCTGATTGTCCTAAACCTTCAACCCTAAACCCCAAAACTCATAACCTCGAACCCTTAACCCTAAACTCCTAAACCCACAACCTTAAACCCTCAACCCTAAAGCCTTAAACCCAAAGCCCTGAACCCTCAACCACATCGACCCCTACTACACCCTAAATCCTGAAACCCAAACCTTTATCTCTTCTCTAACCATGCTATGGGGTAGCGATCTTCTTCATTTATGTACGTGTTTGTGTAAATGTGTAAATCAGATACAATATGAAGCACACCTAGGTCTTATGACATACTGAATTTTGGGCTTAGTGCTTACAACGCCTAGCAGTTGCAGGGTTCGGGGCTTTCTAAAGGCCCCGAACGACGCAAATGCTACACATTTGCTAGCAGTCTAAGTACAGCCGTGACAATCATAGAGACCCTGAGCGCGGAGGCGGGGGAGGGGGTAGGGGACTATACTTCCTGAAATAGGCCTTATTAGGTCCTCATTACTGGTATTAAGGCCCCCTACCCCCCCAAAGGGTCCCTATATGATAACAGTAATACTCGAATAATGTAGGAACCTGATTAAGCAACCCTGCATCTTTTTTCGGGCTCTTTATATTATGAATCCGGATATTTTGGGGGATATAGGACCCGTTTTTTTCAGGTTCCTACATTACTCAGATCCCACAAGATCCTTTATGTCTTGCAAACTCAGGCTCCACCCTAGCATGGCGCCGCTCTCGGCTGGATTCCGGCATGAAACATGTCCTGACATTTAGTCATGTAAAGCACCAGTAAGTAGGATAGATATTTAGTCGTGTAGAGCACGAATAAGTTGGCTAGGCTTTTGGGACATTTCGTAGTACAGTGGATTCCTCAGTTGCCCTGCAGCAGCGATCGATGTAGGCTATGGTTAGGGATTGAGACCTTGCCTAAGGCCCCATATACCTTCGCAGTACATGCTTTGGACTCAAAGTCGTTCCTAGTTGTCGTACATGTTAGCCTTTTCAGGGCCAGTCTGTATATAGTAGGGGTACATAACCATATCCCTTAACCTTAAACACCTAGCGGGTTAGGAATTGAGACCATATGTTTGCCCTGCGTTTGGATTTGTTCATATTTGCTCTCTGCAAGGTGTCGGGACAGAGTTGGTGTCTCCTTCAGCCTCTCATCGGATCATCACACTTCTGCATGTCTACTTGTTCTAGTGCTGGTCTCTGCCTCTCGTCTTAGAGTTGCTTGATGTTTTGATTTGGTAAGGACTCAAGTTCCTAATAATTACATACTCTTAAATGACTACTATCCGAAACCCAACCAAGTACCTCATCATTGGGTGCTTTGGACCCTTGGAGTTATCCATGTTCAACCTCAACAGCGGGGGCCAGCTTCTCAGCTCCGAGCAGACGCCAGCATTTCTGCGAGTACAGCTAACATGCAACAACTCCCACTCAGATCAATAAGTCAAGTCTAACCCGAACGGTCCAGGCGCCCGAATAATATATGATCCCGGTTCTCGGTT